TCGTTATTTACATGAAGTTTAATAAAAGCGTTGAAAATAGCGTTTGAAGTAATTGTGAGAATTATTATCCGTTTGCAATAACTTGAGATAAGGTTTCATACAAATATGATCTATTAAATTATAATATGATATCATATATTCATAATATTTATACTAAACCTTCTCATTATAATCCTCTTCTGTAGTATGAAAAAAGTTTATAAAATATTTGAACTGTTTGATCAAGTACAAATCATTGAGCAATTATTTTAAAATGTTTTAATTTACACATAACTTATTCATGATTAAGAAATAAATTGTTTTTTAATTGAAATTTTCAAATCAAAATCTCAGTACAATACCATTAAATGGCTAAATGAGAACTCAATAAACTTTCACTTTATTTATTTCACAAAATATTATTATCAAAACAAAGATCATTTGAATTTCTGTATTATTTTTAATACAAGTATTTGATATGCATTTTGTAAATTTTTGGACTTTAACCCTACTATTTTAAAACATTAATTTAAATTAAAACCTAATGTCATTATAGTGCCTTTTAATACAGTACAGATCCCAGAGCATTATAGTACATTACCTATCAACATACAAAAACAGTTTGTATAGTAAACATTTTTATAATAAAATTAAAAAATATACATTATACAGTACAATAATCGTATAATTACTGTATATTGTAGTATACCATATATTGTAGTATGTTAAATATCAATTTGTTTTACCAAAGATATCAAATTAGAAATTAAATAATAAGTACTCTATCAACTTCCTCTAAGAACTTTGTAATACTTATCAGTTCCTCAATACTTTAAATAACTACAAAAGGCATGAATAATCTTACATTCATATTCTGTATAGTACTGATAATAATTGCCATCTACTTATATTACATGCCAATTTTGTAACCATGTTAAGTCTTAAATACGAAATTTATATTATAAATATTTTTATTCATATGCAGACAGACTCTCTGATTAAACGTACTCTTTGTTTGAATGATGCCATCGTTTACATGAATTGTTTCATTAATTTATCTCATGTTTGTTGAGATAAAACAATAATTCAAATAATTTTCAAAATTATTATTTATCATTCCTAAACCAGACATTTCATGATAAAAATATGAATTTTTGGGTAAATGTTATCAAATTATTCGCATATCATATTAAACGTTATAAATTAAATAATGTTTAAATTTTACCATTACTATTTTATAATACAAATTTGTACCACAAAAAAATTACTAAAATGAGTATAAATATGAACATGGCAATTGTAAGTCTTTGTGTAAAATATCTGCATTAAAACAGTTGTATTGTATTCTTACAAATGAGTGACAAATTCTTTACCAATGGCTCAGCGATGAGATCATCACAAACACAGATGTATTTATTTGCTCTCATATTTATAAACTAGTACATTATTTTTACTTTCATTTATTGTTACACTTTTGTTTAATATAGTTATGGACTACTGTATTATAAGTTCACTCATATTTATAAAAAGTTATCAGGAACCTATTATGTATTCAACTTAAACGTATTGAAGTGCTAATTTTAAACCGTGTTATAATAAATGTACACTAATGATTGTAAATTACATTAATTAATGATTTGTTACATAATGAACTATAATTGTGAACATATGGTTGTTTGAATGGTTTGAGGGTAATGTTTGTCAATAATTTAAAATAAATAATATGTAAAATTGACTTTCATTGCTCTCAAAGCATAAATCATACACTTCTTATAATGAACTATAATTGTGAACATATGGTTGTTTGAATGGTTTGAGGGTAATGTTTGTCAATAATTTAAAATAAATAATATGTAAAATTGACTTTCATTGCTCTCAAAGCATAAATCATACACTTCTGCACATATTTCCTATTTTCATTGCAAAGTTTGCACACATTTCCCATACAAATGATCAATTCATTGGAAAGCGGAAAATATGCTTAATATTTTGCATAACATGAGGTAAAACAAGCAATTTTGGTATTTTACACTATATTAACATAAATTGAAACCCAATTCAAGTACAATATTATAATGACATTCAAATGAAGAGTATATTTAGCGCTAAAAACTTCAAAAACTAAAGCATTGGTTGACGTCATGGCATATGTTGTGAACAGTGGCCCAACTCTATGGCAACAAAACACATGTGTTTTGACGTAACACTCATTCAAACACTTGAAGTGTTGTATAAAATCTGATTCAAGACATCAATCCATCAACACTTGAATCGTGAAGACTTTCGCCCAAAGGTGACCACAACTCACGAGTGCTATGAAACTGACGCTTTTGAACCTGTTTTTGATGACAATTATATCGCTATTACTTCACAAGTATGTTATGCCATACGAAAGGGGTTTCCATTGCGACGACCTGTCCATCAGCCAACCCTTTCATCCCATTATAATACCCATGAATTACTTGCTATTCTTCGCCTTCATTGTGCCCGTCATCGCCATCATCACCACTGAATACCACCAGAAGTCTGACCTCATCACCACTGTCCGGACGATCAAACAGTTTTACTTCGGACTCATATTGTCTTTCATTTTGGTATTGGTTTGCAAAACATATTTCGGAAGATTGCGACCTAATTCTATAGACGGTATCAATGAATACATCCATTGATTATCATATGATTACCACTAATACATGATATGTCTTACGTGTCCAATACAGGCATCTGTAAGGCCCGACACCACTGCACTCCCGGAACCGGTTATGTGAAGCAATTCACGTGCAATAACTCTGTGACCAAACTCGTGAAGGAGTCGCGGATGTCCTTCTATTCCGGACACTCCTCTGTCGGCACCTATTCTGCAGTTTATGTCATCCTTTACCTCCTCTTCCGGAGCCAATCCAAGAATCGTCTCATATATGCCGCACAACTCATTGTATTCATCATTGGATTGATTCCCGGCTATACTCAGGGTATTAACTATTGGCACCACTGGTCAGACATCGGCACCGGTTATAGTGTCGGTGCCATCACTGCCTATCTGGTCATTAAATATGTTTAACTCATTTTTATTACTATTTTTTGTTAATTATTTATATTTTATCGTATTTTATATTAACTTAATTTAATCTTAAGACTCGCGAATTCTTAACGTATGTTAACCTTAAAAATAAATGTGAATTGTTTAGACAAATGTTTAAACTATTTATTTCAAGAATAAAATAAATTCAAGAATCTGTTGGTTGTGTCAAGAATATGGCATTTGATGCAACAGTAATACTCTGATCTATTAGATAAATTGGCTAATGTTTAAATCGCTACACTTATTTGATGTGGGTACAATTTATAATCATAAGTGTACTATGATACTAATGAAATGGTGCTGTCATTAATACAATGAGTACACTGTGTACTGGATTTGAAATACACTGAATTGCAGTGCAATAGTGACCTCAAGTTATAACCACTATTTGTGTCGTTGAGTGGCGTGAGTGTCGTGAATGCCATATGTGTTGATCATATGACCCATTGATTGACATTTCTATTGATTTGTTGTACAGTCAGCACATGATTGTGACCACAATTACACCAATTATGAGACAATTAAGGGCACTGTTTGTCAAACAAAACTTATTCAAACTCTTCAACGAAACCAATTACTCAAGACTTACGCCCATTTCGGTGACAATCGTTCAGAAATGCAACAAATCTTCAGTTTCGGTGAGTGTTTGCTATGATTTGGTGGCAATGATTGTCTCAAATACATTGTCCGCCAAATAGTCTCCAATCAAATCCGTGGACCGACTGGTGGTGAACAAGAATATGACTCTGAGGTACTGTCACCCGACGCCTGTGTCCACGCAAACGGCTGTTGACGACCAGCACAAGAGCGACCGCAAGAGTGGTCGACCTCTGGTGGTGTTCTTCGCGTGGATGTTGGCTAAGGAACAACACCTCGAGAAGTACCGCAATCTCTACTTCAAGCGCGGCTTCGATGTGCTGACCGTTAAGACCAGTCCTCTGGAGCTCTTACTGCCGACCAGAGGCTCGCAAGTGGTGGCGAAGAATGTGATGAACTTTGTGAACGAAGTGCACGACCAGTACTCGGAGATTGTGATCCACGCGTTCAGTGTCGGCGCCTATCAGTTCGGCGAAGTGTTGGTCCATTTGGAGAGAAACGACAAAATACTCGCCAAACTGGTCCGCACTGTCAAAGGGCTGATCGTGGACTCCGTGGCCGACATGGAGGCCATTCCCGTGGGTCTGTCGCGAGCCGTCACTACTAATAGTGTCTTACGAGTGATATTCAAGAACTTGATTGCAATGCATATGAAAGTGTTTAACTCAGTGGCGACCGTACACTACAGGGCGTCCTCCGAGGCCTACAAGAATAATGCCATTCGGTGTCCGAGTCTTATCATCTGTTCCAACAAAGATATTGTCGGCAATCCTGAGGCCAATCGCAAAGTTATGGAGCGATGGCATCAGAAGAATATTGATGTCCAGTGGAAGTGCTTCGAGAAGTCCAGACACGTCGGACATTATCAGACATATCCAGAGGAATACAACAAAGAAATTGATTCATTCCTTAAGAAAATTAATTTGTAATTCAAATCAAAATTTTCACTCGAAATGAGTTTTAATTTTCACTTTTAGTACAATATTTGACAAATGATTTGAGAGCAGATTGTCTTCACATGTCTTTCAACATATATTTACAGTTATATACACTTTCCAATCAATTGTTACACACTTTCAAAGTTTGTGTCGTTTACATGGATTTATATTTAACTACATTTTAGTTAAATATAATGACATTTAAAATAAATCTTAATATAATACTCGACTGATCTAATAGGATATAATCTAGAAATTAAATCGTGTCGATCACTATTTCCTAATAATTTTATTTTTAAGTTTTATACAAATATCTACAGTAGTGCTTTTATATTCATAAATATAAGGTAAATGAGTTATTTCTAACGTTTTAAAGCAATGGTTTATTTTTTAAGATTGGAGAAATTCATAATTACAGTAATACTGTAATAAATTGCAATATTAGATCAACTATTTTATTTTTCAGACAATAATCGCTACTGATTATATTAATCTACATTATATTAAATTATCAAATATTGATTTTTAAACAAATATTTTTGCACAATTGTCTATTATTGACAATTTATACACTAAATAAACTTTATATTAAAGCCATTTTAATTTTACATGTATGAATTTAACTCATACTACATATACCTCACGAGTGCTTTTGAATAAAATACGTATTTTATTAATTCTAGACTATTACTTTGTTTTTATTTGTTATTAAAAATAATCATATAATGTTTTGAAAAATTTTGTTATTTTTATGTAATTAGTAATTACTGAATTGTATTGAATAAACGAAATACAAGGAAAATTTTATTTCAAAATATTGCTAATCTAAAAAATTATTCATGAAATAAATGATCATTAATGAAAAAGTTGGAGTCATTAATTTAAAGAATTTGCTTAATGCAATATTTATTGATATTTAAATTTTGGATTCATTCCCACCAATAGCAATGAAATACTAATACAGTAAAATAAATCTTAGATAATGAGACTGTTTTATAAAAATTTTTAATCAATCAAAAAATTGGTTAATTTTATTTTAAATTCAAAACAATTAAATCATTGTTTGTAGACATTTTATTCAGGTTAGTACGACAAAACTGTTTTCAATGGAAACTTTTGGTTTTAATGACGAGTTCTATGTAAAATGTATGTGGGTGACAAGTAATTAATATAATTAAAGCCAACTCAAAAAAGTGCAAAATGTATACATTTTATAAAATTATTTTCTACATTAAAAAGTCAATCAAAACTGAATTTATATTGGTCATTATAAAGGGTTTTAAATCTTAAATTAATTTTCATGTTTGAGTTACTGGATCTATAGGTTTGCTTTCAAATGACATTAACAACTAATACATTAATACAATACTGTATTTATTTCCTTTCTTACATCAATTAGTACTCCAAATGTTTTTGTAGTCATTTTATTTTTTGGATCATTAAAATCTATTATTATATATTTAATAAAACCAATTTAAATAATTAAAATTAATGTTTTCTAATAATAATTAACTAATTTAACGAAAAAAGTTTAAATTGAAATTTTTTTAACTTAAATACTTCAAAATCACGTCAAAAATATTGACTCATTAGACATAAAATATTATATAAGAAATAAGTTATTAAATAATAATCTCTAGGAAAATGAATTTAAATGCCTACTTATGTAATGAATATTCAAATGGGGAACTAATTTAGAAACTTATTTTTTAAAGCCCGTTATTTAAAAGTTAAGCATTAAATTTTAATTTAATGAGTTTTTAATTTTCAAGTAAATGTTTAGTGCCTAGTTCAACAATTGTCTCGACTGTTTATTAACATAAAATTAGTAAAAGTTTTGCAATTAAAGAAAAATAGTCGAATTTGAAATGAATTGTGAAAAACCATTAATGATAAAGAAATGACTTGAAAAATAAAGTGTGAATTCGGGTGTAAAGCCTAATGAAATGAATTCACGATTGACTGAAGCAATCACATATTTATTTTATTATACTTATTTGACAATTGTATAAAAAAAATCTTCCTTCGTATATTAAATTATTGTTATGTTTGTCCATAAATTAACATCATTTTAAATTATATAATTATGAAATAACTGTGTTTATGTACTGAATGTTTATTTATTCCTATAAAAAGTCGATATCATATTATATTTATGTACAAAAAGTTAATTCAAAATAATTGTGTGTATTCTACGGTAGAATTTCTATCTAAATAATTACAGGCTATGATTGGAAAATTTACTATTATTTCATTAATGACATTGAAAATGTACAAATGCCAAAAATGCCCTTTTCTAAAAGTTTATTTTAAAAACTCCTAATATATTTATAGAAAATAATAATTTTCTATAATCTGTCAAAAACAAATTATCAATTGAGTAATAATTTTGTATTTTTATTACGTCTAATGTCATCGTTCATAATGTATTATATGCTATACAATTAAATTACCTGAGAACTAATATACTGTATATAAGTACTTTATAAAATATTTGTCCAAACTTTACACGCGTATGTCTATCAAATAATACAAAGTTTGTTTGAATAAAGAGCAAATATTAGTATATGGTTGCCAATTCTTTAGTGAACTTAAATTATAACAATAAAGTCTTATAAGTTTTTAGTAATCAAATGATATTAATATTCAAAGAAAGCACTAATACAAAAATATTAACAAATTAGATTATTTTTTTTCAATAATCCTGCATATTGAATATATTCATGTTAAAAAATTAATATATGTTAAGAATTAAAGTTTAAAATGAGATGCATTCAGGTGTCCGAAAGCATCCAATTTGCATCAAAACATAATTAAATTGAAATTAAAATGTTGTGTCGGCAATGGTTTTGGAAATAGAGTTCATTAGAAGTGGTGTTAGAAGACATAGTTTGGAGGGAAAGTAGTGTTGAACTGAACTTTCGGTCTTAAAGTTAACGAAATTCAGTGAAAAACAGGACTTTTATCGGACTTCTAATCGAAATCATTGCTGACTGTATTGACAGAAAAGCGAGTGTTAGGGCTATCGGTGTTACAGTACATCGAGTACTGGAGTACTTCAGCCAAGCATTTGACCGAAAACGCGCTTTCAGTTAGATTTGATGATGTATTCAAGGCTGTCGTGTTATTCATACCTTTCCATTACCTGTCCCCTCGCCATAACATATAAGGCTTATTCAACCGAAAAGTTGTTCTGTTAGTTAACAACTGACTCCCAAATCCTGACGTCATCCCAAGCCATAGCCCACTATTGATTTCTCTTATACTTGGAAATACACTGAATTTTAATTATACCAAACGCTCACTCAATATATCAAATACATATGAATTAAAGACACAATTTTTGAGTCATTTTTACGGATCTATTACACAAGTGATTGATTATTAAGCACTTAAAGTCTGGAGTTTGAAAACTTGCCTAAACTTTTGATGCGTTTAAACGTCGAAAGCATTTCTGTTGTCGTTTGCTTTGTCAGTAGTTTTCCTAATGAAAGTGAAACCTCTTAAGAGACACCACTTATTCACCAATTCATTCATTTGAAGAGCACTTCTCTATGGGAAGACACTCTTTGTTTTGACTTTCATTGTTTGTATTCATGTTAATAAACTTCAATCCAGAAAATCAATCTCATTTTATTAATCTATAATCAATGACTGCTAAATAATATTACTGATCAGGTATGCAATTAATTTAATGAATCTTATAAAATAATTTTATAATAATTATTAAGTTTATGAACTATATTTGCTATAATATTTTAACAAGTATCTAATATATTAACAATATTGGTTATAAATAATCTTAACTTAAACTATATGTTAATTTATAATCGATTATCTCAATATAAAATACATTTTTAATATTAATAATACAATTTTAATTAAAATATTCGTAGATTTCAGTTATAAATACAATGAGTTACGGTATTAGAGAATATGATTGTAGTGTAGATGCTGTCTATTAACTCGTCTACTCATTACTTCCCGTCTATTCCTGTTTAATGACAAACAGATGACAATAATATTTGTCTTTTTGTTTATATTTTTTATCGTCAAAAAATGTAATGAAAAAATTATTGTCAATTTGAAAATTAGACCCCAATTTGAGACCTGATTATTGTTTGACTTGAATTACGCCTCACATTACGGCTATATATCACAAACCATTTCATACACTCTTACGTCACGTAAGACTATCTGATGAATGAAACCCTAAAACAACTGAAACTTTTTGATTTCATGAATCTTTGCATTTAGTTATTCGACACATATTCCTATCATTAAGACTACAAACTGACGACAATTTATTCACATTTAGTTTATTTCATTTTTGTTACAATTATTATTGAGTTTTTGCTAAATGTCTAAACGAAATATTTTATTTTTCTTAATTTATTTATTGCTATATATTTACAAACATAAAGATTGTGTCAAAAGATTGCATAATATTGTCAGTCGTATATTGGAGTTAGACTTTTAATATTCATCACTTGTCGTAAGTCTTAATAAAAATGTTATGTTATATAATAATCTTTTAAGTAATAAGTAGATAATGTTGATCATTATTTTGTCAAATATTTAACTTGAAACAATATTTGTTAGCAAACTAGATTGGACTTGAAAATAATCGCTGTAATTTTGTTTCAATGAGTATGCAATGCTATATTATTACAAAATACATTTGATTTAAATATGCATACAATTTGTGCCACTTTATGATTGGACTTTCCAATATTATGTTGTTTTTCAATGTCGACTTGTATTTGATTGAATTATTAGTGAGAATTGAAAGCTATAGTGCTTTTGTGTGCGATTCTCTCGTATCATGAATATAATTACATTGAATTCACTTATATTATTACTAATAAGGTATAGTATTGTAACAAAGTTAAGTACCAAATATTTGAAAATTATAGTTTTTTGTTTCGCTTAAATAAAGACACAAATTAACAAAGATCTTCATAAGTAAAGCATATTTTCTAAACTACAGTCAATTATGATAATATATTTTCCCTCTCAG